TCGCTGCTTGATTTCTTTTAAATCAAATTCACAGTGACACAAAAATATGGCTGAAAATATCATGATTGATAAGGTGATTGGTGAAAGTGGAGCTTCTAATTCAAATGCCACATCACAATCTCAATCAGTTCAATCGAAAGCAAAAAAACAAAGAAAAAAGAGGTCTGTTGCATGGGAATATTTCGACCAAATTATTGATCCGGAAGGAAATCAAAAGGGTGTTTGTAAACATTGCAAAAGAGAATATTTTGCCGATTCAAAAGATAATGGTACGAAATCACTCCTTACACATATGGCCAAGTGTTTAAAAATGCCTTTAGATGTTGCAAAAAGTCAATCAAAACTAGGCTTTAACCCTATTCCGGGGGGTAATAAGGGTGATGTAGCCGTTGTTCCTTGGAAATTTGATCAAGAACAATGTAGGAAGGCTTTGTGTCGTATGGTGATCGTTGATGAACTTCCTTTCAGCTTTGTTGAAAAGGAAGGTTTTATGAATTTTATGAAAGTTGCACAACCTTTTTTTCGAATTCCTTCACGTAGAACTGTGACTCGGGACTGTTTTGATCTTTTCAATGATNGATGATATGTAGAATCTTAGATAGTTGTAAGTTAAAACTTTGGTAAGTTAATTATTCAACTTATATGTTATACATAGTATGATTACAAATATTACTTGCTTAATATATTTTCTTGTTATGTTTAATAGGTGTAACCATGCCTCGACTTTGTGGTCTCAAAGCTATCTCACATGTTTGGAGTCACTATGAAAGGATTGAAGAAGGTGATGATGGATGGTGGAAAGTAAGATGTAGTTATTGTCATCTTGTTTTATGTATTATGTTTGGACTTTGGACAATTGGACTTGTTAATCCTAAGGTTGATACTACTTTGCATTGTTATTAATGTGTTTGAACTATTACTTTGGAGTTTGGACATTGTATACATCTGTTTTTGGGTTGTGAAAGTTGGGATCTTTTTATCTCATATTTTTGTTAGATTGGAATTTGAGCTGTTTGCATTTTGTATGCACAGGCAATTGAGGTACTATCGTACTGGGTATGTTTAGCTCCCATTAATATTTCTTCTTGATATGTACAGCTTTGTGTGACTGGGTATGTTTAAAATGGGAGTTGTTTGCATTTTTTGGGTATGTACTGTGACAGTATGACTGGGTATGTTTAGTTTGAGGCAAAAAATGTACAGCTTTGTGTGCTGAAATTATTCAGCGAGAAGTTTAACTTTAAACTGAAATTATTGTGAGAAATGTTGGTTTTATGTGCAGCTTTGTGTGCAGCTTTCTGTTATGTACTGTGACTGCCACAAGATATTCATATTAGCGTTTAGTAAACTTTGTACAAAATTTACTTTGTACAAATATTAGCGTTCAGCACTCTTAATTTTAGGTAATATTCAGCGTTCAACACTCTTAATTTTAGGTAATATTCAGCGTTCAGCAATCAACACTCTTAGTTTTAGTTTTACCTTATCGGGTAAACCGATAACCGAACCGATAATGATCAATAACCGATTAACCGATAACCGATAACCAATATCTTATCGGTTTGGTTATCGGGTTATGATATTTGTAAACCGATAACCGATATGCAAAACCGATAATGTTTAAAACCGAACCGAACCGACCGATGCCCACCCCTAGCTAAACTAGACTTATTTTTCTTGCTATTGATAGGCATAGTACGTACGATGACTGATGAACTGTGACATAGTCCCAAACAGGTTTGGGTTAATTTAATTTTACTTGCTACAAAAAATGCGGAATCCAATTTTTACTATTCCTAGAATCTTGATACAAATTTACTTTACAATTTTTATTATTTTACAATACCAAATGTAAAATAAAGATTCCACACACTTCTAAAAGTTTGGTAATTGATAGTTAAAGTTACATTTTAGTGAAGGGAAAATAAGGAGTAATTCTTTCTAGGAGAAACACATGAGCTTTGGAATCTTTGCCCATGAAAGCAGATAAGTGATAGTACACCCCACAAATCACAATTTGATACTGCGGCTCTGTGAGCACGTGAAGCCCAACTGGCCACGATAAACCTGACGGGCAAGGGCCCATTAAGATTCTCGTTATTGTGGGCCCATCGTATCAAGGGGTTAGCCCGCACCAAAAACTATTTATATTTAATAGCCGAAAAAGTATATACAATTTGTATAATTTTTATATATAACATACAAAATATATATATACAAAAAATATACAAATTTTATACATTTTTTGACAATTGTTTTTACAGCGGCTATACAGTGTCATTTTCTTTATCAACTAAGAGAGCCATGTTGAGAAAAAGTGAAAACACATGAAATAAATACAGTCAAACTTCTCTATAATAACTTTATTTATTTCGATATTTTCTGATTGCTATAGTGAAGTGTTAGTTACAAATTTACATAATTTTCAAACCTTCAAATTATATGTTAGAGTTGGAGTTACATTTTGATCTGTTGAATTACATTATTTTGACCCAATACTTCGACCGATCATTTCGAGTTTAATTTGCTAGATCAAATCAACAAACTGATCATAAATCAATTCGTTTAAACTCGGTTGGATTGGATGTGTAATTTAAAAATGGTGATAAATGATATGTGTGATATTACATATAGGACATTATCAAGAAATATCCACGCCTGTTCGGGCTTGGCGCCTTTAGAAACGTTTTTGATAGTGGATAAGTTGTAATTCATTATTTTACTAAAAGAGATTAATTTAACCTTATTTCCTTTAGACACAATTCTTACAGCACAAGGGGGGAGGAAAGAAAAGGAGCAGAAAAGAAAACAAGGGTCGAGTAATGATTGTGATTTGGGCCAAATATATATGGTGGCTGTATTGGTGATCTAGTCGAGGCCCAAGCGTTATTTTAGATACATCCTGGGAATCTTTACACAAATAGCCGATCATATTTATTGTTTATTTTTTCTAGCCATATACATTAATTATTATACATAATTATATAAATACTAATTTTTATGTACGTGCGTTACACGTAGATTTTCAGTCAATTATATAAAGAAACAATAAATTAAATTTAGTAAAAAATATATATAAGAAAAACAAAGATCTGTTTAAAGCAGTTAACATGAAAAAATTGCTGCAATCATAGAAATATTAATTATACAACATAATACTTGAATGCGATCGTTTGAAGATGTAAAAATAATTAAATTAGTAAAGTTAGATAAACTTTGTGTTTGTAATGCAAATATTTGCAATGTGGTCGTATATCACCTAATACTTCTATCTTTTTTGTAAATGGTGCTTTCGGTGTTTAATCTCCTCTCTCACTTCACATATATCTCTTAATACTCATTATAAAGATATATAAGATGAAAAGTATTTTCTTCCTCCAATTTTTTATATTAAAAATTAATTTTTTTCTAACTCTAAAAAATAGGCATTTGTTCATGTTATTTCTCAAAATATGTCAATTAACCAGCGATCTATAAAAAAAACAAACGTTAATGTCATTTAATTATTAAGGCAACATCACTTTACCCTTTCGATATCCATATGTTATGTGCGAATTCTTATTACTAAAAAGAGTTGATTTGATGCCGCTGTTGAATATATCAAAGACGATACTCTCTGCTAACTAACTTTACTTCTTAGTTATTTATATGAACAAAATTGGTAAAGAAAACTTCTATGCCCATCTGAAAATATTTGGTAAATGGATCATAAGAACTTGCTTCATGTTGTGACTTTTTTCTATTGCAGGCTGTTTTCTCTTTCTTCTTCTTATTTTATGTTTTTCCTTTTCTCCCGCTTATGATATTAAGATTTAATTTTTAGTAAGTTATTCTCTATTAATATCACGAATAATTAATATTATTATTATTATTATTACACTTTTAAATATCCGTTCTCACTTTTTCACGAAATATAATCTTCAGTGACCTTGTGATAACCGATTCTTTTATTTATCACCTGACTAACACTTACAACTTTAGTTTACATAGCTATCAAATAGCCCCTCTCTAATTATATGTTTCTATCCTCATATATACAATTCTCTCCTATACAATCCTTATTTATAGAGTGTTTCGATCCAATCTCTGTCCTTACTTGAGTGTTTTTTCCCCAGTACTTCATACGGGTTGTGCTTGCAGTCCTGCTTTATCTGACGGCATAGATGCCCAGGTCTTAGCACCTTTTGTTCCCAGAATGCTAAGTTTCTTGCTTTCCATATGTTGTATACCACAACTGCTATTGTAGCAAGCACAAATGCTCTGCACATTTTCCCTTTAACTTGCCTAGTCATCCTTCTGCCTAGTCCTCGAAACTCCACGCCAATATTCAACCATCTCAGAATATCTTCCAAATATTTTTTCGATAGTTGACATTCAAAGAATAAATGTTCAATTGTTTCCTCTTCATTACCACATATCACACATAAATTGTCTTGGCTAACTCTCATATGCTTCAGTTTATCTTTTGTCAGGAATCGTTTGTGTGCTGCTAGCATGTTGCGGAAGCCAAATGTATATAGTGTGAATAAGTCACAACTACTATACCAAAAATTATGACAGCCACCAAATAATAAATAAGACAATAAAGCAACAATAAAGGGAACACCAGAATTTACGAGGTTCGGCTAATTTAGCTTACTCCTCGGACACAACCAATATTTTATTTCACTCCAAAAATACAAGTGAAATAATACTAAAGAGAGAAGATACAAATGCCTTAAACAGATGAGAAGGCAAATGAGAGGTGTGTTTAAATCCTAAACATTAAGCCTTCTTTTATAGGGGGAAAATCTCCCCAACCCTTCTTTTCCCACCGATGTGGGACAAAAGGTTTTGCCAAACTTCAACAAATCTCCACCTTGGCAAAATTCCACATCTTCAATTTTCTCTCAATAACAAATTTTGATTATGTCTTCATCTTTAATCTTCAGTTTTCAACAATGTTGATCAAATCCAAACAATGTTGAAACTTGACCGCAGTCACCACCTTTGTCAGCATATCAGCAGGATTCTCCGTAGTATGAATTTTCTTCACTGTGACTCCACCTTCTTCTATGATTTCTCGTACAAAATGATATCGAACATCAATGTGCTTCGTTCTTGCATGATAAACTTGGTTCTTCACTAATTGAATAGCATTTTGACTATCACAAAAAATTGTGATACCTTTTTGTTCAACACCAAGCTCCTTTAGCAATCCTTGAAGCCAAATTGCCTCNAAAGAGTGAAGATACAAATGCCTTAAACAGATGAGAAGGCAAATGAGAGGTGTGTTTAAAACCTAAACATTAAGCCTTCTTTTATAGGGGGAAAATCCCCCCAACTTTTGTTTTCCCACCGATGTGGGACAAACATTTTGTCAAATTCAACATAGCCAACAAATGAAGGTGTGTTTAGGCATGTTCATTCTATTCCATACCCACCCTCTCCAAGGCAAGTCCTCCATAGCCCCTTTTTTCAGCTATAGACACTACTTAGTGTATATTCCCCAGTTGCAGTTAGCCAATGATTTTGTATATAATCTGATGCAAATTTATCTCTAGTTGTACATATTTTCTTTCAATACCAGCTGCAATTTCACTCCCTTTTAAGTAGATGTGATCCACCCATCTTACTCCCTTTTAACCTGGTTCCTTTTTATTCTATAACGTCTTTGACAACATTAATGTCACTTCTAGTTGTCTAATTTTCATTGGCCTTGTAGCTATTGGTTAGTTCTTTTTTACTCTATGGCATCTTTGAAAATATTAGTATCCCATGAGATTTACTTCTATTCTATATCTTTGCAAAATAAATGTTTAGAAAGCGGTCTATCTAGACTACGGTATCCTATTATTTTTAACTTTTTTAGTTTATAAATGGAACTTCTTTGTAGAGCTGTTAATTAAGTTTTTAAGGCGAAATTAATAGCAATGTTTGGTTGGTCATAAAAGGATTTAAACTTAAACTTGTGAAGAAGAGTTC